TTTTTCAACATTTTTGTAATATCTAATAATTTTTTATACAAATTTTTTTATTGTATAATAACCAGTTTTTATAATTTTACTAGGTCCTCCGACGGCCGCAAGCGGCCGTCTACGGTGCTAGTTTTTATATGTCCATTGTCCAAGTCCATTATTTCATTAAAAATTATATTCAAATTTTTTCAGTTAATAATTTGCTTATTTATATTTGAAATGTTGACGTTTTTTTGACAATGCAAAATAAGATTTATTATAAGTACTTTCTCTTAACAAAAATAAAATTTATATATTCGCGCTCTTTTTAAATAACATACGACTGCAGCGCCACCTTCACATGTACAAACAATTTTAAAAACATTATTATGACATTTATAGGTTAGGAAAATAATAAATTAGAGAATTTAAAGTCCAACGCACAATAGGTTCGCGAAAGTCGTTCGCGAACGAAAAATTTGTATAAAAAATTATTAGATATTACAAAAATTTTGAAAAATAATATTATTTTCGATATAATAATAATTATGAGAAGTGACAATTTGGTAAAGTTATAGTTAGAAGAAATACATGTTAGAAAATATAGTAATTATAAAGAAGAATGATTAGAAGTAAAGAAAATTATGAGTAATGTTAATTCGAAAAAGTTAAAATTATTTTGAAAAACATTTATACGAAAAAAGTTTTATAAAAAATGATATTTCGATAAAATAAAATTTAGAGACTTAGAATTTAGAACATTTACACATTATAAAAAAATGTTATTAGGAACAATAAATTTTTTAAGAATTGGTAATTTTGGTAATATTTGAATTATATTGAATAATAATTCGGGAACATAATTATTATAATTATTAACAAATCTATAAAATAATATTAATCAAAATTGACATTTCGAAAATAAAAATATTAGTGTAAATAAGAAATATAAAAAATAATAATTTTTAGAAATGATAATTCAGTTATTTGAAGATTATAAAATATTTTCTTTCGCAGTATTAAACATTCTGTTGATTATTCATTCAAAAAAATAATGTTTTTGACAATTACTCTTTCGATTAAAAGAAATTATAATTAATTCTTATCAGATAAAGAGAATTTCGATAAAATAAAGATTCGGAAAATAAAAATTGGAGACTTTTCATGCGCCTCGAAAACACATAGCATGAATTGTAAGCCCAACCATGCCTATGGATGTAACATCCATATTTGATTCAACAATATAATATGGCTCCCTCATCCATTGAATATTGAAACTGCTTCCATCCTAAAAGTTGTCTCTTCCATTGAATTGGATAACACAACAATATTTTTATAGATATCTCTTCCAAACCTTTTCTTTCCGTCTATAACTTACTTGCAGTCTATAACCATATAAACTTTGTCAGAATCATAAATTATTATAATTAATATAAAAAAAATATCGTAATACACACGGAGAAAAAGGAATAGTTGACACATTTAGATACATGGATATCACAGCCATATTATATTGAAAAATACGGGATATCCATAGTTAAGGTTGCTGCATCCATATTCTATGGCTGGCTGTATATTGTTGGAGCAGCAAAAGATCTATGGTTGGGTGATCCATAGTAATGGAAATGGGAAAGAAAAAAATTTGAATCACTCAATTAATTATATTCCATGTCACTTGAGATATTTTATACACATTTTTGTTAATTAATACACACCACTTATTGAATAACCGCATATTAACGAAATAAATTATTAACCGATGGGGGGGAGGACACGAACCCTAGACCTAACGCATACTAAACACTAACGCTATCCACTACACTATACACACAACTACAATATTTGAGCATATAATATTCCTTATATACTCTACACATATTTCATGAAAATGAATTTACATAAAAACTAATAGACAATAACGATAATAAATAATAAACAATTATAACACTATTTATACACAATAAACTCACAACGTGATTATATAGACGTGACAGGAAACCGACGCGACGGACAAATTGAGACGACCATTTTTAAATGGATGCCATGATAATGAATTGCGCGCAACATGTATCGAAATTTTGAACTAACTATGGATCTCCCAACCAAAGTTTATATGGATGAGGCAGCCATATGTGAAAATCCATAGCATAAATTGTAAGCCCAACCATGCCCATGGATGTCACATCCATATTTGATTCAACAATATAATATGGCTCCCTCATCCATTGAATATGGAATGTGCTTCCATTCTAAAAGTTGTGTCTTCCACTGAATTGGATAACACAACAACATTCTGCTCAACAATATTTTTATGGATATCTCTTCCAGACCTTTTCTTTCCGTGCAGAGAGAAATTTACTCCCTTTCACTTCTTTAACTTTTCTTCTCATAATTTTTAATTTGTTTTATCAAAAAAATTTGAGGTGAATTGTAAAATGAGAGGTTAAATAGGTTAAATTTGATACAAAACAAATGGCTTTTTGTGCTTGGCTTTTTTCTCTCCATGACTAGGTGTTCATTACACTTTTTTCTTAATGTATAAACATATACTTTTATTTTCTAATCATTAAAATTAGTTGTAATACACTTAAAGAAAGTCTAAAATTTTAATCCAATTTTACGAAATTTCAATTATTCATAAATATTTCAATGATATATTCAAAAATTCAAGAAATTTCAAAGATTTCAATTCAAATTTTTTAAATAACTTGGTTGTTTAGAATTGTTATTTAAAATTATTCAAAATTCAATATATTCATAATATATTATACGGGAATGGAAACTAGAAAAGTTAAGCTTTATTTTCATATAATTTTGATAAAAATCGACCGGGGGGGGGGTGTTTTGAGATATTAAGAGTTTAAACTTTCAAACAGGAATTTTTCTACGAAATTGAGAGAAATTTTAAAAAATAAGAATAGCACTAGAAAGTTCATGAAATTCTCTTTCGATTTAGAAGGAGTTTACACCGTAAGCCTTAAATATAAGCCTCCGCGCGCATAAACGGATATACCTCCAGAAGAATAGACTTGCGCCTGCGCATAATGTTTGCCTGCAGTTGTGTAGTGAAAGACTTTGTCTTGACCACGTGTTTGCGCAGGCGCGAGTCTATTCTCCTGGAGGTATATCCGTTTATGCGAGCACGAGTATAAATATATGCCTCTCGGTGTAAACTTCTTCTATGTTACAAATAATTAAATTTTTAAATAATAAAATTTATTAGAAAATCGCTCTCCTTGCGATTGTTTTTTTGTCGGTGGAACGATTTGAAATGAAATGCCTCATATGCATACAAGTTAACTATAGCAATTTTCGCAAAAATGACAATTCGCAACAGTGACATTTCGTAAATATGCGACAATTCGAAAAAAAGGCAGTTCGCATAAATGACAATTTGTAAAAATGACAATTCGCAAAAATGAATTTTTGCAAAAGTGACAATTCGTAAAAATGGCGATTCGCAAAAATTACATTTCGTAAAAATGACAATTCGCAAAAATGAATTTTCGCAAAAATAACAATTCGAAAAAATAACTTTTCGCAAAAGTGACAATTCGTAAAAATGTCGATTCACAAAAATGACAATTCGAAAAAATGATATTTCGCAAAAATGGCGATTTGCAAAAGTGACATTTCGCAAAAATGACTTTTCGCAAAAGTTGGAATTCATAAAAATGGCGATTTGCAAAAGTGACATTTCGTTAAAATAACAGTTCGGATAAATGCAATTCGGTAAAATCACAGGAAAAAAAAGTGTTATTTTAACACTAAAAGTAGTGTTAAAACAACACGCAACATTTTTAACCGATACTGTGTGATTTTAACAGTTCATTGGTGTTAAAATAACCCTAGACCGTGTTAAATTAACACTAGAAGTTGTTAAATTAATATACATTTTTAATGGGGTTAAAATAACACTAAAATTGTGTTAAAACAACACCATCTGAAAACTACACGCAACAAATTTAACACATATTTTTTTCTGTGATGACATTTGGGGAATAATCATGCGCCTCTCGTTTCAGACGACTAAAATCGTGCTTCAACCGCAAAATTTATTAAACTGAATCAAATGTTTATTTAAATCAAATAAATATTTATTTATGATAAACAAATTTTATTTAGAATATCTTAAAAATAAGTTTTATGATACAATATAGAGAATTTGATTCAAGCATAATTTTTTCCCTTAGCGTTTTACTCACTTTTTTGCTTTTCATAGGAATTAGTAATTTTTTTGTAGAAAACATTTATATCGACAAAAGAATTCGTCCATTTGAACATTGAAAACTTTCGAATCATGAAATAAATTTGAATTACGATAAAAATAAATTCACCTCTAAATTTTCCAAATATTAAATCTTACAGAAAATTTATTAAAACAATAGATTAAGTCAACTTTAATATCAACTATAAATGAACGCACTTTAGACTTTTTCACGAGTCAATTTTTTTCAACGCACATCTTTTTCCCATCTTAATCTTTCTTAATTCACGTTCTCTTTATCTTATTTCGTAATTACTATTTTAAACCGCGTAACAATTGTTCAACACAAAATAAAATAGCTCATTTTTCTAGACTGACGAGAATTTTTTCCCAACTGAAGTTTTCCAATAATTTACGATTTGCCTTCAATTAGAAAATGAGCTGAAAATTATAACCACCACACTGAAAAAACCATATTCTAAATTTAAGAATATAATCTTGGCTCCTATTTAAGTATATTTTCCATGTATTTTATTCTTAAACAGTTTCTTAAATTCAAAAATATTCTTATTTTAAGAAACTTTTTCCTATTTTAATAGTATTATATTCTAAATTTAAGAATAAAATACATGGAAAATATACTTAAATAGAAGCCAAGATTACATTCTTAAATTTAGAATATCGTTTTTCCTGTGCACACTTTAAAAGAAATAAAAATAGAAAAGGAATTTCTAAAATATTTTAAATATTTGTAAAAAAATAATGAAACCTATAAAATCTTGACGATTTGGAAAATGAAAATTCTTTTCTCTCTCTTTTGTAGATTAATCACAACAACAATAATAATTTCGAAGAAATTGAAGGCATGAAGATCTCTGAGGTGCCAACGTCTTCCTTGATTGCGGATCAGGAGAGTTTCTTCGTAATGCGATCATCATCCTCCGACCTTTTGCCCGAAATGAGCATGAGTAGTAGCTTTAATCCGGATAATAACCTCGACAAAGCCGATGAGAACACGCACGTTGAATCAAAAGTACATTTAAGCACGAACATGAAGACTGACGTAAGAGATTGCGAGATCTTAAGGCTTTGCAAAAGTAAGAGGGTATCCTGTCAAGACACTATTCACGAGTCCGAAGAGGACGATGGCCTTACTATGGAAAAAGTTGGAAAGTAAGTCAACCCCTGCTGCTGATCGATCATCCCACTTCCATAATCATGTCCAATTTTGCATGCAACCACTTCTAAAGCCAATTTCCTTACTATAATAACCAACTCCCAGTAGAAAATGCATAATAAATATATACACTGCCATTTTATTTTTCTCGAGAAAATCTTCTTCGATCTTATTTTTCTTTTTTTTTTTTTTCTTATAAATACTCAAGTTACATAAACTAATAAAATAATAATTTATTGACTTATGGATTCATATAAAAGTTGGGAAACTAAAGTTTACGTTTTATATTACTTTTTCTTCTTAATCCTCAATAACTTTAAGCCTTCTATAAACGGAAACGCATTTTCAACTATGTGTTTATGTAACTAATAATAAAGAATTGATTATTATAATTGACAATAATTATTATAAACAATAAAATTATTATTATTATTATTATATAAAATATTATAAACAATAAATTATTATAAACGTAATTAATATAATTAATAAAATAATCATAATAAAAAATATATTTTCTAATTCATTTAACAAACTTATTTATTTTGTAAACCTTGTTTATCTGTATTTAACTTTCATTTTTTATTTACATTAATTTTATTTATTATTAAATCTTTCATAAATTTTTCAATAAATCATTTATTTTTTTTTATTTTTAATAATTTTTGAAAATGTTCTTTGAGAATTTTTAAATCCACTTGCTTACAGTTTAATTTTACAAAATTGCAATTATTCGTAAATTCTTTAATTAAATATATATTAGAAAATAACAATTTCAAAAAATTAATTTCACAGAATTGTTAGTTAAAGTATAAAAAATTTAAATTTTTAAAGATTTTAATTTGAAACCTTTTTATAAATCAATTATTTCTAAAAATTCATGCTATAATACTTTTAATACCTATTCAATTATTATCTAGAATTTTAACTAAAATTCAATTTTTAAATCAATTTTATTAGAAAATTCTACGAGAATTCAATTATTTAAATAAAAAAATAAATATTTTATTGAATCCCGTGTGGAAATTTTCTAATGGCTTTTTATTGGTTCTACCTAGATTTCCCCTTTATTAACTTGGTCCTAGCTTGTTTATCCTTGTAGGCCCTAGGTTGAAACGTCACGCTCTTCTAGCCTGGTTCTACCTAGAGAATCTAGTTAGGCCCAATAAAAGAAACAGTTTAATTAACTATTAAAAAAAAATTATTTATTCTTATTTATTATTATTGAGATTCATTATTTCATCTTTTTTTACCTACTTTTGTTATTATGTAATTTATAATACTTAATTTCTATATACTAACAGAGAAAAAATCCCCACACGTTGGGAGTTGAACGCACGACCCTAATATTCGTAAACCGATAACCTAACCACTTAACCACGCTCGCTCGTAACGATGCGTTGCATGATACTTCAGGTTATTCTTGTCATCATAAGTCATATTAACTATTCCATTATAAATGCCTCAAAATAATAAAACTGAAGTCAGTAACATTTTCGTTGACGCAAAATGAGAAAAGAATTTTTTTAAAGATCAAGATGCAAATAATTTCTGATAAAAAGAACTTAATTGCTCTCTTCATTACACCCTACATAGATTTTTAATCCAATTGGGGAGGGAAAGTCAAATTGTTATTGAAAAATTGAAGTTTTTATATTTTATCTCATTTCGATGACGTAAACGTTGGAAACTTCAGTTTCATTCAACAAAATATGATTTTAACAGAAGTTAACAAATCCGTAAACGGTTTTAAAAATTTAACTTGAAAAATATATTGTAACGAAAATTTTAATTGAGTTAATTAACTAAAGCTTAAATCAAAGCTCATGAAACTTTAAATAAATCTTTAATGTCAGCAGTTTTTCAATGTTGGGCTCAAAAGTTAACTGAACATTGCATGAAGTAAATTTTTTTTTAATTTAAATGAATTTTATCTCTAAAGGAGGAAGTTTAAAGAAAATTTTAAGAAGTTTTGAAAAACTTAAAAAATTAAAGAAAATTGTAAACATTCATGCAATGTTAAGTCAACTTATGCGCCTAACATTGAAAAACTGAAAACATTTAAAGATTTATTTTAACTTTCATAAGCTTCGGAACTAAGGATATGCTGTAAATATGCTGGTAGCCAAGGAAAAACCAATATCATCTTTAAATTCAACTGGTAAATTAGTAAATTTGACTATGTCATATTTTTATACAACAGATTTAATCAGTAACTTATATTTTACTAATCGAATCAGTAACTTTCTACTAATTATCAGTAACTCAATTCTGATAATAGCAATTAGTAGAATTCTACTGATAATTATATGTCAAATTTTACAAATGCAAAGTTAAAAGTAAACATTTCAGTTCAATATTGTCTCAATCTTGCTATGAGATGTTTAAATATTACTTTAAATTACACATAAACAATTACTGATACATATTTTTAAATATATTTATAACTTATAATCTAACAAGAAGTTCTAGCTATTACCAAGCTAGGGCCAGGTTAAGGTACATTCTAAGCTAGGACCATTATAGACCCAATAATCAATATTGGCAAACCTTGGCAATTTCCACACGGGATACTTGAATGTTCTCAAAATTGAATTCTCATAAAGAATTTTATCAACATAAATTTTTAAATAGTTGAATTCTTTCGACGACTTGTAATAAAATTTTTAATTCTGCAATAATAGTTTTATTATTTATGAAAATAATTAAATTATTGGGAAGAAATTTACAAAAAAAATTGTAAACAATTGAATTCCTGTGAAATGTTTATTAGTTTATGAGAATAATTTAAACGTTTGCGTGGAATTTTATTAAAATTTTTTTTAATAATTGAATTCTTTAGGAAAATTTTTTTAAATAATTGAAATTTTGCAGAGAATTTTATCAACATTTTTTATATAATAATTGATTTGATACGAAGAATTTTATTAAAATTTAAAAAAATAATTGAATTCTTGCAACGAATTTTATTAAAATTAAAAGTTTCAAAAATAATTGAATTCTTAAGAAGAATTTTAGCAATCATTTGTAACTTCTCAAAAATTCTCCAAATTATAACGTTAAATTTACGAACTTTTCTTGCTTTTTTAATCAAATTACGGACTTTACGGACCTTTCTTAAAAAACTGTCTTTTACGAACTTTAAACAAATTTACGGGATTTACGGACCTAGTTCGAGACCTGAAAATAAGATAAATTGAGGCCTTGGATCCAATAACTCGCCCGACGCTCGGAGGCACGCGCTAATGCCAATCGGGTACCAGTGAGTGGCCCAGAGGCGCTCACTGCTCACTGACTGGCAGTTGCGCGTTCCTCCGAGCGTCGGGCGAGTTATTGGATCCAAGGCCTCAATTGGAATTCAAAGATTAAAAATTTCGACGAACTAAATTCAAAGTCAATTAGAATTTTAATTGATGAAAGTTTTAACAAATTAAAATTAAGATTTATTAAAATGTGAATTAGTTAAAAATTTTTACAAAATAAATCTTTGATTAGGAATATTTGAAAAATTTAGAAAATGGTTGAAATTTTTAATCAAAAGTTTATTTTCTAAAAGTTTTTAACGAATTTATATTCGAATAAATCTTAATTTTAATTTTAACCTGTATTCTACATTTCTTTATGCAAATTACACAAGCCTGCAAAAAAATAAAAATTTCCGTTGTCTGAGATCGAGAAGTCCAAAAATCATGTTTTTCGCAGTTTTTGAAAATGTCTACCGAGTAAATCCGACGTGTTAGAGACTTGTCATAGGAATCAAATTAAAGCTTGAACCTGATTACGTCTCTGATTACGTATACACGGAGAAAAATGGAGTTTGAAAAACTGGGAGTCAATATTGAAAAAACAGGACTCAGTCCAGTAAAAGTACATTAATTCATTTCCATCAAGCATCTTAGGGTATTGCGTATAGTGTATAGAGAGCCTTAGTTCCAAATGTCACTGTAAAGAGCATTAAAACACAGGCGAAGATTATAAGGCGCGCTGCAGTGTGCATAGTAGAGAAACTGGACTCAGTCCTCTACTTCGAAATTTTCACAATAAAGCTGAGTCTCCAATAGGTGCCAGTGTATGTGCAAGTGCCAATGCCAGAGAGTGACACTTGGATGCGCGCGCAACGTATTGCCAACTGTAGTGCAATCTGATTAAAAACTAACGACGACAAATTTGGGAAATTTCTCAAAGCAAAAAAACTATAATTAATTAATTATTATTGTTTAATATTTTCAAAAATATTAATATAATTCTTCGCAAAAATTCAATTATTTTTTAAATAGTAAACTAGTATTATAAAATTCAATTATTATCATAAAAATAAATCCTCAAATTTTTCTTAACATTTTTGTTAAAAAATTCTCAATTTCCATAAGGAAGTAATTTGTATCAATTCTATTTCTTAATTTCAATTTTTTTAATAAAATTCAAAGTTTTTTAAAAATAAAGAAAAAAAAGTTTATAAATTATATTTGTCAATTAGAAAATTTATTTGAAAATGAAACTGAGAATTTTTGAACTTTTAGAACATAAAGGAAAAAATTTTGTTGAAAAAAATTTTCTGTTAAATTTATTTACGAATATCTTTAATTGTAAAATTATTCGAAAACAATAATTTATTTTCTTTTTTAAATATTTAATTATTATTATTTTTTTCCATAGGAAATAAGATTTTCAAAAATTTCAAATTCAAACCTTTTTGATATTAATCATTAATCAACTTTAAAAAAATTGTTATAAAACATGAGGAAATCGATCACTCCGAGTCTTTAAAAGAGTTACGTTAACAATTTTTATAAATAAATGAACTTTAATTGGATTCAATTTGAAATTTAATAAAATTTCAATGTTGAATGAATTTAATTAGAAATTTTAATGATCTTAAATTTTTAAAAAATTTTAATAATTCAAAATCTTTTAAAATTAGTTAAATTTTTTAACAAATAATTAATTAATTAATTAATTATTAAAAATAATGGATTTATAAAAGAATTTTAGTTAAAAACACTAAAAAAATTAAATTTTGAAGAAGTTACAAATTATTGCAGAAATTCAATTACTTTTAAAAGTAGTAAAATTCTTCACAGTAGTTTAATTCAATTATAGAAAAATATTTCTTACTTTGCGAAATGTACAAAAAGGAAATAAATGTTTCTTAAATCTTGTTTATATAAAATTAACATTTTATTTTATTTTGATATTTCTTTTATCTTGTTCTCCAGTTCCCTGTAACAATTTAGTTTGTCCAACGCCTGCAGTGGAATTGAACTATTGTACGCTAGGCACCAGTGGAGGAAAGTGCTACTTTCCTCCACTGGTGGTTTGGCCAGTAGAGAAATGAGTTTAATGACTGGAAGAAAAATAGAATTATTTGTGTTTTCCTTTTAAATTGTTAATATTAATGTACCTTACGTAACTAAACTAAGGGTATGACTTACATAGTTTACGCAAGGTACGCAATTTACGTAAGTAACGTAACATACCCAAATACGTAAGTTATGTTCTTACGTAATTTACGTAAGTTATATTCTTACGTAAATTACGTAAATTATGCAATATGTTTCTATGGAATCAAAGTCGATTTTTTAAACAATTTAAAAATATAAAATTAAAAAATATATTTAAAGTTAATTTTCTCAAAAAGGGCTCTAGCGATTATTTTCTTTTTGGTCTTAAAATACTCTTTAAACTTCACAGATTTAAAATTGACAAGAAAATTTCGAGTGCAGGAACTTTTTATAAAAACCCATTTCAGGCGCACCGTGCTCTCGGCTACGCAATCGATGGGGGAAATTTCCTATTTAAGAAACATCCCTTACCAATGAAATAAATTAGATCATGCGTGAATTTTACTTTGTAATTAATGTGAGTATGGATGTCAACAATATTCATAATATTGAATAAATAATATTGTCAACTAGTTTCAATTTGATACGGTTATTAGAATTTAATAATAAATAAATAAAAAACATTAATTTTTTCCTAACCTTTTTCAAGTTTGACACTCCTCATGGTAAATTTGATTATTTTTTTCCGTGTACAAAATAGTGACTTGACCTCGAATGAAATGTGTAATTAATTATTCTCACAGCAATATTTAATAATTTAATTAACTTAACTGCACTGCATAATAGTTGAGAGTAGTAAGAGTAAGTGAAACGGTAAGATAAGTGAACGACCAATAGTGTGAGAGAGAGAGAATAACTTGTTGTTTTCGAGTAGGTATCTACTTTATGTGCACGGCGTTCATTTTTCGAAAGAACTGGACAGAGTACTAGTTGTTCAATATTCGCTTCTATTATTGACTTGTGTTTTGTACACTGCCGCGTTCTTTTAACAATTACATGAGAAAGCAATTTCTTATTCCAAATTTTTATACTCTTATTCCCTCTTAGACTATATAAACAGTCTTGTTTAACCTGATGAATGGGATAACATGTGTTAAGTCCCAAAGTGTTCAGCTATGAAACTTCTAATACTATAGTGTGTACCTGTCACATATTATTCTATAAAGGAGAACTACACTGACTGCATAAATCATTTTTCCATTTTTCCTCGTGTATGATGTCAGATTTTCAAAATTCAAATTGTCGGATCCAGTATGGCGGACTACTTGTTAAAAATCAATTCAAATTGCCTGAAACTCGTTACTCAAGGGTTGTCGAGTTCATTAATTATGAATCTAATCACAGATTTTTAATTTTTACATCATATTTGTAATTAGCGACCCCGATAACCCCCGAGTAACAAATTCTAAACGAATCCAATCATTTTTTTAAACAGTTGTATTTACGGACAGTGTGAGTCCATTTTTATGCTTGCCAACTGTTAAAAAATTCATTTTTGATAGCTAATTTAGTTCGTTGTTGGCAAAATCGCTATATCTTCGTAAAGTAGAGGGTTCAAGCTTTAATTTGACATGATTTTTGGAAATTTAAAAACACTTTTTTCAAAATCCTGACGTGATGGGAGGATTTCGTTGCCAGATTCGGATTCAGCACACCAAATACTGCGGGAAATGACTTTTCGACCTCAGACAACGGAAATTTTTATTTTTTTTGCAGGCTTGTGTTATTAATTACTAAAGTAGTAACTAGTAAATAATGGAAATATAAACATTCATTATTTTTACTTTTATGTTTCAATAATTTCTTTTTTATTATTATTCCAAGCAAAAACATTCTCCAGCTTGTATTTTTCAAATAAATAACAGAAATAATTCCAAAGTTGTAAAACTAGAATGAGCTATTTTATAGTTTTGAACAATTGTCCTACATATAGTTAGTTTAAAAATATTATACTAGGCTATAATCTGGATTATACTGCGACTATAAACTGGATTATATACGTGAAATAATCCAGTATTTCCCGTATAATGTATAAAATTTTTCAAATTTGAAAATTGCAATTTATAGACAACTGTAGAAAAAACTGATTTGTTTTTCTTAATTTATATTAATTTATTGATAATGAAATAATAATTTTTATTTGATATATAAAGATTGTTTTTGCTTCTTACTGTTTATTTTATTGGATTAATAAAAAATTATTAATATTAATAATATTATGTCGATAATTATTTATTCTATAATCAGATGTTTTTTCTGGAAAAAAATAAATAAGCAGTTACTACCCTATAAAATTCATAATCCAATCGTAATGTTCGATTGCAAAAAAATTTTTTTTCTTTTTCCTGTTTTTAAAATAAAGGTTTTTGGAGACACATCCAACAGTATTGGAAGCTTGGATTAGAGATAAGGCGAGCGCAGAATTAAGAATGTGGTTACAGGGAACAAGTTTGGCACCAAAGACATCAACTTCAAGTCAACATCAAGAAGAAAATACGCTGAATAGAAATAAAAGAAATAGCGTCACTTCGGATTTATTCCAATCGTGGCTGGCGTCCAATTCACCAGTAAAAAGAAGCAGAAGTCCAAGCAGGTACCTACTTTTTCTTTCTTTTATTATTTTTCCAAATCTCTCTTTAAAAAAAGCTCTCAAACTCGAAGATACTGATCTTCATTTTGAAAATGTAATTTCCACTTTCTCAAAAACACGTTTCGTTCTTAATTATTCTACGCTATTAAATTCAGTTTAATATGTCTTTCATTTTATAAGCTTAAACATTTTTTTACGATTCATAATTTCGTTCAAAATAAAAAAATGTTCACCTCAATACGGAGAAGAAAATTTTTTTTTAGTATAATTATTGATTTTATTTTATAAGCTTAAAAAGTTTTTTTATGATTCACAACTGCGTTGAAAATAAAATAATGTTCACTTTAATATAGAAAGAGAATTTTTATTATACATATATAATTCCTAATTTTACTAGTTATTGATTTTAAATTATAGTAATTATTTTGTCATATCACTTGAAAAAATTTGGTGACATAAATAATTAGATTATTTAAATTAAATAATTTTTTTTAATTTATTTGTTTGCTTTTATTATTAACACTGTTCCTTTATTATTATGTCTTTATTTATTTGAATAATATACGAGCTTACAGTGATTTTCGGGTAATTCGTTCTTCGGGATATATTGCCTTTCAGGTTTCTGCATTCATGAAACTGACCGGGAATCGAAACAATATAATTATCGATTCGTTTATTAAGTGAATTAGTAAACGTTTAAACTAATTCTTGACCAAAAAATATACTAATTGATAATAGAAAACAACTAATTCATTTGTTAAGACTACTAATTATTATTACTATTAATTATTAATTAGCTATAATAATCGTGAGATTCTTCCATTCATTCTGTCCGCAGTTTTTCTTTTATGTATGCTTTTATTTTTCTCTCTATAAAAGAACTTTGATTGATAGGTCGAAATTAAACAGGAATTTTTTCTTTATTTATAAAAAATATTAGGAAATTTTTTAAAAAAGCAATTTGCATAATTCCTATTCCTTAATCACAATTTTTGTAGAAAATTTCGCATTTTCTTTTTAAAACAAGTAATTTATACTATTTCTATACCTATCTCAATTTCAATTTTTTAACAAAATTCCAAATTTTCTTTTAGAAATAAATGTTAATTTTTTTATAAAATCGATTTTTAATTAGAATTTTTAATTGAAAATGAAATTGAGAATATTCAATCATTTTTATAAAATAAAGGAAAAAATAGACATAAATTTTGATTTGTCAATAATATTTTTTAGACCTACTAAATTTTTAATTTCTTATCAAAAAAATTTCTATAAATTCTATTTTTCAATCACAATATTTTAAGGAATTATATAATTTTTTCTTTTAGAAATTAGTGAAAAACATTTGCATATTTTCTATTTCATAATTACAATTTTTATAGATAATACTGTTTTTTTCTTATTTTTAAAAAAAGAAATAAATTTGCACCATTTCTATTTCTCAATTACAATTATTTAACAAAATTCCAAGTTTTTTTAAAAATATAGAAAAAACGTTTTTTACATTTGACTTGTTAATCACAATTTTTAATTGAAAATAAAAGAGAATTTTTAGTTCTTTATGAAAAATATGTCTATACATTGTATTTTTTAATCACAATTTTTAAAGGAATTATAATTAAAAAAACTAATAGAAAAAAGTTGCATAATTTCTATTACATAGGGGAGATTGGGGAATTGTGGGCCACCTCAATTATTTAATAATATTTATAAGTTTGATCATCCAGTTCTTTTTATTTTCTTTTGTTCATCCAAAGTAAATTTTTCATTAGCATTTCATTACTTTACAACGCTTTATAATTAACTATAAACCGTAAACAAAAATCACCTGAAAAATTGCATTCAAATATTTATTTTGGACCTTCATGTTTTTATTGTTTTTACAAGGATTTTCAAGAATACATTATGAAAAATATTTTTTTAATTATTGTGTGGGATTGGTACTTTGACTCCAAAAAAAAAACTTCGCATCAAATTAAAATGAATAAATAATACAATGCTTTTTGTAAAATGAAGCATTTGGGGAATTGTGGGCCACTTTTTTAGGGGTAGGGGAGACTGGGGCGAAAAGTTAAATTGTGAAAACAGTTAAAATTCATTATCTTTCGAACGGAAATAGTTAGAGCATTGCAATTTTAATTATAGAAGGGTGTTATCACCCTAAATAAATGTCCGGAGTTATGTGACATTCTGCTAATTTTTGTGGTGTCCATATTTAAATTTTTTTTTCACCCTACTTTTGAAAATTTTTTCGTAAAAAAAATATCAACTTTTAAGGAGGAATGGTATAGAAATTCAAAACATTCAGAATCTTTTGATATTTTAGGAAATGATTTGCTTTTATATAATAAAATTACCCACCAAATTTCAGAATTTTTCACTAAATAGTTTACAAGTTAAAAATTACTTAATTTAACATTGCCTCTTATGGAGAGAGCACGAATTTGCATGTTTATCACTAAAAATTTAATACTTAAAACATTCAGAATTTTTTGTAAAAATTTCATCTTGAAGGTCAAGATTTAAGCTTTATTAATCACGAAGGTTCTTTTTTATTCACTAACTAGTTTAAAAATAATTAATTAGTTTCTGGAAGAAAACTAATTTTATGATAGACAAACAGAGAAAACGTGGCAACACTGCATATAAAAACTTACATGTGACAGCTGTTTAGTGGTACATAGAACCAAGAGATGGCGCCAAAGGTACCAAAAATGACAAATTTTCATTATTTTTAACCACATAAATGCAAATCATAACACTTGACACTGTTACCAACGATCAAAAAACAAACTACTTGCATTGCGAGGTTGTCACGATTAAACGCTCATTACAAATTGTTATTTGACAATGTTTATAATTAATAAAATTAATATTACAGCATAATAAGACACATATATACGTAATAATAGCATTTTTTCAAAGTTTGCAATGGAATACTCGATAAATCCGAAAATAATTTTTAGAGAATTTCAGTAACTTTTATTTTCTTAGGTTTTAAATTCGTACAGACAGTAACAAAAATTATTTTCTGCTTTTATAAAAAATGTAATTTAATAAATTTATTATATTTTCCTTATTTAATATATACTTTTTAATATTCATTGATGCCTACTTTTATGATTTCAATAAGAAAAACTGCTATATGTAGCTTAAATAAAAAAATTACAAATTCCCCTAAATGTCACAAACTTTTGGCCCGATTAGGTATACCATTCCTCCTTAAGTATATTTTTTGCATTTATTCTCACCGCGATTTTCTTACTTCATTATTTGGGTCCCCTGAAGAGATACCTAAAGGTATTTGCTAAGTATCTTTAGTCAGATTTTTTATATTTGTTGTTAAAGCCAAAAACGCAACCTGGGGCGAAAAGTTAATGTATTTTTACATGTTATTAAAAATTTTTTTTTATTTTTCGTTTTTTTGGGTTTATTTGTTAAAAAATGATTTATTTGACATTAGGCAAGTACTCTATCAAAAAACAAGACCGCTCACGTGAAATAAACCAACATTCTTTTTTTTTGAAATTTCTATTTATTAACTTTATAACTATTCTAAAGCTTTTGTTAAGTAAACAAAGATCTTTTATTGACTAAATAACTTGTTTACGTATACTTTAACTTATATCTACTACTTAACAACTATCAAAAAATAGTTTTAGTAGGCTAAAAATAGAATTTAAGTTTTAGCCCCAGCCATTTAACTTTTCGCCCCAGCTTGGGGCGAAAAGTTAAAAAAAACAAGATTTTCAAAAAGGACAAAACATGTATTGTATGCCAAAATATCAAAAACTTTTTTATTGAAAGTTGTAGGGGACAAGTTGCCCTACAATATTGATATATAAATATTTGCATCTAAGCGGATTATATTGTCTAAAAAAAGTCATTTATGCAAAATTTAACTTTTCGCCCCAGTCTCCCCTAGTATTTATTGCTTGTTTTTGGCGATTTAATTGCAAATATTATTAAAATCACTCATAGTTATAGTAATTTAACAAAAACAATTCGTCTCATTGCGGTTCATACGATAAAGCTGTTTACTTAAGAATTTGTAATTAATTAATTGTGATTCCGATTAATTTCATTTTCTTACTTTTTCTTTTCGGATTTTAAACTAATAATTAAACATTTTTAACATTTTTAATATTTCCAACCATGTAATAAATATATTTTTTTTTTTCGTTATTTTTTATTTTGAACTCAGTTTAGGCAGTGGCCTACAATTTCCCAACATTTTTAAAAATCATAAAATTGCACTCTTTGGTAAAACTGAAATTTCTTTAAGGTAAGTAATAATTTTGGGAAACTGACTATGATATATGTTAGCTGTTTATACCTTCTACTGACACGAAAAATTTTAAAATTTGAAAAAAAATGTTGTGTGTAACATATTGAGCTAAAAAAAAGTGTGGCCCATAATTCCCCAATCTCCCCTACAATCACAATTTTTATAGGGGAGAGTCTCCAGTTGTGAGACACCTCCAGTTGTGAGACAGTCAATTTTTTTTTAACATGCAATATTAAAAAGCCGATTGGTTTATATAAAAACATTTCTTTTTATATGAGCCAACTTTTTCGTGTACGCCGAAGCGGATATATAAACTGTTTTTGTTAAATACCAACACTGTGTGTGATAATCGACTAAAAAGCGTTTTTTCAATAAATGCAAAGTACTTTTTTTCCAAGTTAATTAATTGGAAAAGGTAAATGTAATGCATTTTCTTTTAGTGTTTTCCTTATATTTTGTGATGCAATATTGCATTGTTCCAATCTACGGTTGAAAATAATTTAATTTTCCTTTTTCAAAATAGCGCCAATTTCTGGGTGTGAGACACAGCATATCACCAGTTGTGAGACGGTGTCGACACCCATCTGGGCAGCACAAAATATACGACTTTGCAGGCATACTATTTAAATGTTGTTTTGATTTTTTTTCTAGTATTTTTGGGCTTGTCAAGTGGAAAAAAGTCAATTGATTCAGAAGAAATCAATTTTAATGCTCT